GCCTTTGTACGTTCTCCAGTCTGTGCTGCCTGAGGTCAATCATTGAGTCAATATGATCGACAGACGTTGCATAAGACAAGTCATGTAACACTGTTGTGACTTTTTGCAACTGTTTGCCCAGTTACTTGCTATAGTAGCCACTCAATGATTTCAGAACATGAAGCATGCAGCCAAATGATTTCAGAACATGAAGCATGCAGCCAAATAATACAGAGTGTTTCTCTTTTTAAAAATAGAGGCTCTCTGTAATCGCACAGTCTGTATAAACATGTCAATGTTGAGGACCTGTCCTAAATTACTAAACTTGGGCTTCTGAGTCAGGGGTTCACTTGAAACAATGTCTGTGTGTTATTTTTAATATTATTATATATATTATTTTCTCTGCTGCTTAAAATGGTACTAAAGTCCGTAAAGCGAGGGGAAAAAAGTTCACCTGCAAGTTAATGTTATAATGTGCTAGTATGGAAGCCTACCAGCGGCACGCCGTCACTGCTGACAGGACTTCCATCTTCGCCTGGTCTTTCTTCCGGTTTGCGGGCTCTGAATGAATGGCCGAGCTGCAATGACGTCACTCCCATGCATGCACGAGAGTTACGGCTGTGGCATGGAGCTGGAAAGGTATGCTGTCTTTTCAGAGCCCATGCGCCTGTGATGTTTCTGGATGCATCCTGTGTGAATATCTCCTAAACTGCACGTTTATGAAATATTCACTGTACCTACAGATATGCTTTATACTCGACTTACCTGTAAAAATTGGACTTTACTTCCACCTTAATGCATTTATTCAAGTGTTGCTTTGAGTCAGAATTTATATTTATATTTTTTAATGGAAAGTATAGTTTATTTTTTAGTGAGTATGTATTTTGACTTATTTTGTATTTTTTTAAAATATATTTTTAATATATTTTGATTCACATTTAGCACGGTGGCTAAATGGTTAGCACTTCCACCTGGCAGTGCTAGGGTCGTTGGTTCGAATCCCAACCACGGCACCACCTGCCTGGAGTTTGCATGTTCTCCCTAGGCCTGTGTGGGTTTCCTTCCATACTCCAAAGACATGCTGGTACGTTAATTGGATCCTGTGTAAATTGATCCTAGTATGGATATGTTGATGAATGTGAGTTACAGACCTTCGATTGTATGCTCCTTGAGGGTTAGGGAAATTATGTAAATGTACAATATATATATACAGTTGTGTCCAAAATTATTCAACCCCCATGAAATTGAGTGTTTTGGCCAGTTTGACATTGCTTTTGATCATTCAGTCATCTTGCTTACATTTACATTAAAGAGGCACTTGTAGGTCAGACAAATATAACATAACAGTTATAATGAAATAACCACAAATGTCTTTTCTGTGCTCACAGCATTATCAGTTTTATTCAACCCCCAAGTGACATTCAATCTTAGTACTTAGTACAGCATCCTTTTACAGTTATAACAGCTTTTTTAAACGTGAAGCATAGCTTGACACAAGTGTCTTGCAGCGATCTACGGGTATCTTCGCCCATTCTTCATGGGCAAAGGCCTCCAGTTCAGTCACATTCTTAGGCTTGCGCACTGCAACTGCTTTCTTTAAGTCCCACCAGAGGTTCTCAATCGGATTTAAGTCTGGTGACTGCGATGGCCACTCCAAAATGTTCCAGCCTTTCCTCTGCAACCATGCTCTAGTGGACTTGGAGGTATGCTTGGGATCATTGTCCTGTTGAAAGGTCCAACGTCTCCCAAGCCTCAGGTGTGTGACGGACTGCATCACGTTTCCATCCAATATCTCCTGGTACTGAAGAGAATTCATGGTACCTTGCACACGCTGAAGCTTCCCTGTACCTGCAGAAGCAAAACAGCCCCAAAGCATGATTGACCCTCCACCATGCTTCACAGTAGGCAAGGTGTTCTTTCATCATAGGCCTTGTTCTTCCTCCTCCAAACATAGCGTTGATCCATGGGCCCAAACAGTTCTAATTTTGTTTCATCAGTCCACAGAACACTATCCCACAACTTTTGTGGTTTGTCCACATGGCTTTTGGCATACTGCAGTCGACTCTTCTTATTCTTTGGAGACAGCAAGGGGGTACGCCTGGGAGTTCTGGCACGGAGGCCTTCATTACGCAGTGTGCGTCTTATTGTCTGGGCTGAAACTTCTTTACCCACATCTGACAAATCTTTTCTCAGTTCCTCAGCAGTCACACGGGGACTTCTCTCCACTCTACGCTTCAGGTAGCGCACAGCAGTCGAAGTCAGCATCTTCTTTCTGCCACGACCAGGTAGCGTTTCAACAGTGCCCTTTGCCTTGAATTTGCGAATGATGCTTCCTAAGGTGTCTCTTGGTATGTTTAACATCTTTGCAATCTTCTTATAGCCATTGCCCTTCCTGTGAAGAGAAATCACCTCTTCTCTTGTCTTCCTGGACCATTCTCTTGCCTTCACCATGTTTGTAACCACACCAGTAAATGTCTAGAAGGAGCTGAGTATCACAGTCATTTTAAAGCTGCCTAATTGGTGCTTATTATGCTTGATTGCTGCTCGGTGACATCCACAGGTGTTTTCAATACCTGATGGAAAGCACCTGTATGAACCTCTGTTCTTCAGAGTGGTAGTCTTTAAGGGGTTGAATAATTGTGGCAATGAAGAAACCACATAAGAACCATTTACTACTGTATTACATAAACAATTGATGTCATTTTAGTTGCATTTGGGTAGTTACAACGTCCTTGTAGGATTTGATTCTGAATACAATTCCAAATGTACACTATAGTCCCTAAACCCCTTTACAGCATTGGGGGTTGAATAATTTTGGACACAACTGTACATGTAATGTGCTGCGTAAATTGATGACGCTATAGAAGTACCTGTAATAAATAAATATTTTTGAGGGTTTTCTGTGATGTTAATAAATATTTGTACTCGGGAGTGCTGTATTTTACTGCAATTTTTACTGTAGTCACTCAAGCCTTTTGTCCTAATAAGATATTAGCCTCACACAAGCAGTATATTGTTTTTTATCGACTTGGTTGACCCATAACCTTGTATTGTATAACAGGGCAGTAAAGCACAACTATTATGTAGCACTGAATCGTGTATGGTTAAATCTCTGTCAGGTTTCTTACCATATGTGTGTCATTGGGGAGACTTGCAGTCACTTTCTGTGTAGAAATAACAGGAAGTGAGAGGAAATCTCTCTAAAGTGAGGGAAATTCCCTCTTAAACTGTTGTCACTTGGAACAGGTGTTCCCATTGTGAGGCTTTTCATCTAATATTTTTCTGATGAGAAATAAAAAAAAAAAAAAGAAGAGATTGGCTTTTCTTTTACGTTCAGCCAATGGGACAAAGGTGGTAAATCTCAGTAACACAGACACCAACAGCTGTAAACACTGAAAACCACTATCAGAGATGCTAACCCTTCACCACTCTATCCAAATGATAAAAAGCTTTGGCTTTAGATAGACCTTAAGCAGATGTATTTCTGTCTATGAGCTAGAGCACTTTGTGATTGTCACTTGAGGCAGCACTTCACCCTCTCAGTCATCACTGACTATTTTTAATCCTTACACTGCTAGCATTAGTAAATAGAAAAGTATTTTCATATTACCTTTTTTTAAACGTCTCTTTACATTTCTTCAGTTTCCAGGCCTAGACAAATGATTTCATACATCCCAAGAGTCTTCAGGAGGGGAGAAGGGGTTTTCTGACCTAAGCACACCCTCCTGTCTGCATGCTTCAGCTAATGGCAGATGAATTCCAGGAAGTAAATGCTACATGAATCATCTGCCCTTACTCAAGAAGATGGCCATAGCCAGAAATGCTGGGGGGGGGGGGGGGTTCAACGTGATTTCTTAGCAAAATAAAGTATGGAGACATGGATGGGTTGGTTTGTGATCTTCAAAGGACCAGTTGTATTCATAAGACTAGATGTCCAGAGCTCCCCACCCCATACATCAGATGTCAAGAGCCCCCCCACGATCAGAATTCAAGAGCCTTATCCTAACTTGTATCACAGTATACCCCCCCACCCCGTATCTTGTACTCCCGCCCAAAAGAAACTGGAAGTGCAGCTGAAAAGCAGAAAGTGCAGGATCTGGAGGAGGACCAGGGGAGGTCTGGAGTTAGCTGTCAGAGTCTGCTGAGTGCTGAGACAAGGGGGTGCTGCAGCTGCACAGACATGTGCTGGATCTGTAGGAGGAGTTCTCTTCTCTCTGCTGCGGACTACTGAGACATTGTGGGGGTTGAGATGGGGGCGGGGGGTGCCCTAGCTACAGGAGAGGTACGAGGGGCACATGAAATGGCCCGGTCGGCCAAATTTGACCTGCGGGCTCTGTGTTTGGCACGTGTTCTAGAAGATGCAGCAAGAAAAAACTTGCTACTGCAACACTTTCTATAAAGCCAACAAAATGTATTCTTGAGCAGTTAATACTATTTATTTTTTGTAGCACATTACTCATATTTGGACTTGTATAATAGGCGTTGATTAGTCTTTATGTAATTATACTGTGAAGATGTATTTTGTTTTTAAATAAGACTTTGTTTCAACACTGCAGCATGACATGTTATGCCAGAGCAAATGTGCCCTTTGTCATTTCTGCCAATGTGGGGACAGATTTAAATGTTGGAATAACTGTGCAGTGTGTGGGTTTGGAATGTGCAGTAATGAGCACAATAAAGTAACAATAACAATCGTATCAGTTGTTGCTATCTTTTCTTGTAAAGATTGGAGAAAAGGAAATAGCCTTTCAAGTTGAGAGTAAAACTTATATATTCTCTGCAATCTTGGAGATTGCACAGATTTTGATTTGTTTTATGTTTTTTTTTTGTTCATATGTATAGACTGAATTGGAGTAGGAAGTCTGTGATTGGTCTGTACATGACACTACAAGGTGGAATCTTGATGGTAACAGGAAGAAATGGAGGAAACCGGAGAATTTGATAGAAAACGCATATGCAGAAGACTAACTAATTTTTCTTTTCTCTCGTCAGCTGAACCATTTTCCTCAAAAGTCAAGCAGATGAGGCTTAAAAGAGAAGACTTTGAGATTTTAAAAGTAATTGGAAGAGGAGCATTTGGGGAGGTAAGTTGTGCTTTTTAAAGCCATTGTCACAGCAACCGTGGTGGTGGCAGTAGTAATTATTGCAGTGGCATGGGCCCAGACACTCATACACTTACCAGTTATGCTACATGAGAGCTAATTCTCATCCTCCCAGTTATTTTATGTACTATTTGAACTAAATAATGAAACTTGTACATGTAACTGCTGTGCAGCATACGTTCTGGTTTCTTTTTCAATATAGGCATATTGTGAACTAAAAGCCACTTTGGCATTCCAAATTTGGGAGTCTTGATTCCCAATTATAAGCTCTAATTGATTCTCTGGTGTTCCCACCACTGTATTCAGGCAAAGGTTTGTTTATTCCTAAATGTATGTAAAGCGTTTTTTTTTTCTTGGTACTGCTTTATCCCTATTCACCTCTAGTCATGGGGCTTTAGTCGTCTTCTGGGATAAAACACTGTTGAAGTAAAAATAATTTTAAAAAATCAAATGGGGGATGCACTTGTGGGTCAAATAGCAAGAGGATGATGAATCGTGACATATATGAAGTGATCCCACGTGACAGGTTTAGTATACAGGAACTGTATTGGATGTAGTTTTGTTGCCAATGACACAAAATCGCAAATAGAATGTTGTTTAGGGTAATACAAGAACTTTTATATGTATGCTGCATTCTTTTATTTTGCTTATTTACTTCCATTTCATAATCTTACTACTATTCTAAATGGTTTGTTTCTTCCCTGTCTCTAACCAGGTGGCTGTGGTAAAAATGAAAGGAAGTGGAAAGATTTTTGCCATGAAAATCCTACACAAATGGGAGATGCTAAAACGAGCTGAGGTAATATTGATGATCCGCAAATTAAAAAAAAAAAAAATCGAGAAAGCCAGACATACACATGCAAGAAGGATGTTTGAAGAGTGTGAACCTGGCTGCTGCCAGGGCCTCAATGCCATGCAGAACCCCCCCCCTCCCTTTCATAGGGGTCAATCATCATTTAATCAACGCAGGCAAAGCATTGAAGATGGAGTGCTATTTGAAGTGGCTTCCATTATGCAGGATGCAGTACTTTGACTATCACTTTTTCTCCTCTTGTTCATGGATAGGCCCAATAGTGCATCCAGTGGCGTTCTTGGGTTCACTTCAAAGCATTCAGATTTTGATTGGCTGATTGGCACCTTGCATCAGAAGTCAGGAAAGTATTGTACTAGTATTTCACAACTGTCCGTAGAGAATGATATAGCTTTACAAACTTGGTCAAAGACCGGGAGAGATTCCTGTAGGTGACTCAACAATTGAGACTCATTTCTACTACTTCTACTGGGCCTTAGCAAGAAAATTAACGAAAAAAATAATAACCAAATGGTTTATGTATATAGGTTGGCCAACTGCTTAAAGGCTCAGTTCACCTTTGTGAAAAATATAACTGCACATATTTTTGCAGGAAATAAAATGTGCGTTGATTATTTTTCACAGGAGCCTGCAGAGCATTGCACCTGTGTTTTAGTAGATCATGGGTGCATTTTAATTCCAGCCTTCAGTTACAGTATGAACAAGAAAAGGTAACTTTAGGAAAGGTGGAAACAGTATGACTTCAGTTATGGTTAGTACATGAGGGATGCAGTATAAACATAGCCCATCACACTGGTTTTGCTGTTCTCACAGGTTTGGCTGGGAAACATGGGGCAACACTACATGCACATTCAAGGATACCAATATCCTTGGATATGCATTTAGCTTAAAGGATAAGGTCACCTTTTGTAACATGTTACATGTTACACCCATATTCAGGGTGTAACATGTTACAGTCAGACCGGCCCCCACTACCCTCAGTCCCCACTTTGACAGCTAGCGGGGGATCGTCTCTCCCCTCGCTATCTGTCAATTTTTTTTTAAATGGCCGTGCGGGGCTTTACCCACAGGGCCACACCACTCATTCACAGTTATCTGTGAATGAGAGACTACAAGTCCCCAACAGCCTTTGTGGCTGTCGGCTTGTAGTCCTCAATGAACTACATTGGCGCTGTGAAGCGCCTGGTAGTTAGTTCATTCTTCCTGTCAGTATATCTGCTTGCTCGGACATCCTGTTCGAGCAATCAGATATATTGACAGATCTGCAGTAGACCTGCATGGCACCAGTGATCTGCTGATCGCTGATGCATTAGTTTACAGTCTCCTGCAGACAAAAATAATTGCACACTTTTTTACCTGCAAAAAAATGTGCATTTATTTTTTTTCTAAATGGTGAACTTATCCTTTAAAGTCCCATCTCTGGCCAGAGGAAGCAAGTTTTTAGAGTGCAATGATTATTTATTTATTTTTTAATCTGTTGTATTGCACAAGGCTGGCGTGCTTTTTTTTTTTTGTTTTCCTTTTGCCTTCAGTATAAAATAATTGTTGCTCTGTAAAGTAAAAGTTGCTCTGTGGGCTAAATATTGTATAAGTGTCAGCTCTGCATTTATAACTAGAGAAGTATGCTACATAACAAATGTAGACGTGCTCCTTGCCTTCCTTTATAAAGCTACTATGTGCTATTCTTTGAGGAAAATGTAATAATAAGGTCTTCAGCTCAGTTCGGGTCCTGGCTTGCGTTGCATCATCCTGTAACCAGAACTTTGATAGCTTCACGGCTACCTACAAGATTGATAATCCATTCCTATTGGCTGCAGTGGGGGTTACAGACCACAACCACATTCTTGAACCTCACCTTTGCTGCTTGAGGTTGGGTCATCTTTAGGCCTTTGCAGCAACTGTTAAAACATTACAGTTATATTACATGTGTGATTGTTCAGTTTATCACTTGCTAGCAGTCACCTCATGTAGAGCACGATAATTTTCCTGTCTTGCTAAAGAGATGGCTGCCAATAATGACATTAACCTGAAAGCATGTCCTTAAATCAGATCTAAACTGTAACTGAGCACCACAAACTGAAAACACTGTTTAATTTTTAATATTCCAAGAGGTGATCGCAGCCATATTAGTGCACTTGCGACAAACAATTGAGTACTGCCTGTGATACTTTTTTTTTTATTTGCACTAACATACAATTTTCAGGACAAGCTTTTGGGGTATGGGGTATGCCCCCCTTCTTCAAGGTCCAAGCAATACTACTTCACAAAGGTTTAGCAGAAAGTTAAAAGAAACAATCTCTGAGGGGGAAACAAAAACACAAAAAAAAAAAAACACACAAACAAATGTACACAGCAATGGTTATAAAACTAGGAGTAGACTAAAGATAAGACAGAGCAAAAGCAAAGACTGGGGGAGTTGGGACAACAGTCACAGAGGGGGTCATAAAACTGTTGGATAATGAGTGAGGAATCCCATGTCCAAATTAAGGTCGGTATCTTTTGTATCAAATAGAAAAATAGAAAAATAAAATTCTTTGTTCAAAAGTTTTCCTAACCCCCCTCAGAGATTTTCTTTTAACATTCTGCAAAACCTTTGTCAAGTTGTACTGCTTGGACCTTGAAGAAGGGGACATACCCCAAAAGCTTGTCCTGAAAATTGTATGTTACTGCAAATAAAAGTATCACGGACACTACTCAATATTCAAAGCAAATTCACCCATCCACTCATGTCTCCATGCTTTATTTTGTTTGAGAAAACACCCCCCTAGCATTTCTAGCCATTGCCATCTTAACAGCAGATTATTCATGTAGATGGAATCCATCTGCTCTTAGCTTAGGCATGCAGGCTGAAGGGCGTGCTTGGATAAGAAAGCCCTTCCTCTTCTCCTCTTCAAGATGAAAGAAAGAAATGCCCAAAAAGACTCATAGGATATATGACATCATTTAGGCCCATGCCAGAAACCAAAAAGCAACTGAATAAAATAAAAAAAAAAAAATAGAACAAATAAATGTAAGATACTTTCCTATCTATTTACTAATGCTGGCAGCTTAATGATTCTTATAGTTAATGATTGGATATTTTAGTTCTTCTTTAAAGTATAAGTGCACTGTGTAAGTAAAATGCTACATAAGCAGTTTCTCCGCTGTCCTCTTCAAGTAAGTTTACAAGTTTACAGACCTCAGACTAGACCTAATTTCACTGTTGCTTGCCCTGGTTTACAAGCCTTCTGTGAACTAGATGTCTCCACACCACTCTGCATTCTTCAGGATTTAGGAGTATAAAACAACCACCGGCGCATGCTCACTGTTGAGATTGTTTGCTCACAAGCTGCAGTCAGGTGACAGTCATGTCTAATAAGTTTACCTAATGTTATTTGATGAAGACATCAGGGGATTTGTTATATATGGAAATTTACTTTTAATATACATGTATCCTTTGACATAAACATTTTTAATTACTAATGAAATGGCATTGTGTCTGCAGAACAGTATTTCAGCAAAAGTTACTTTTTTGCTAGGGAATCATGTGTCTAATTCTCACTTTCTTTTCTTTTTCACTTTCTTTCTCTTTTCCTCTCTCACGCTGTTTGCTCCGCTCTCCCCTCTCTCTTGCGCTCTCCCTCCTCCTCTTCGCGCTCTCCTCCTCTCTTCGCGCGCTCTCCTCCTCTCTTCGCGCTCTCCCCTCCTCTCTTCGCGCTCTCTCCCCTCCTCTCTCTTCGCGCGCTCTCCCCTCCTCCTCTCTCTTTGCGCTCTCCCCTCCTCTCTCTCGCGCTCCTCTCTTCGCGCTCTCCCCTCCTCTCTTCGCGCTCTCCCCTCCTCTCTCGCGCTCCCCTCCTCTCTTCGCGCTCGCTCTCTCTCCTCCTCTCTTCGCGCTCTCTCCCTTTCAAAGATTACATTTGTTAATCCCCTTTTAAGTACAGTGCTTTAACCATGCAGCGTTATGTCAGGGTTAAACTTCTGATGCATAAAAGTTGAAGTACCACATCTAAAGCTATTTAGGTCTTTGTCAGATTGTCATATGTAGGTACCAGAATCACTCATTTTGTACTACGTTTGCAATGCCTTATTGCTGTTAGTGTAAACATGCAGTTCTTCGTGCTGAACATACATATAAATATACCTAAGAGTACTATTTTATTAAGTGAGGTTTATTTTCCCTAAATTGCCAAGAAACCAAAGGTTTGTAATTCTAAATACATCCTTTGAAGTGAAATGGGAAAAGGGAGGATGACAGCTTGTTGAAAAGACACTTGTGTAGATTATAGACTTGTTTATGAGTCAGCATAATCAGATTAGAGCAGGAAATCACGGTTTTAGAAGTGACTTTATAAACGCTTGTAAGTTACTAGTTCTGAAGCCTAGCCCATATGTAGCACAAAGAAGCCTATGTTGTGTCAGTGCAGATCTTTGAAAGAATGTTGGACAAAAGGGCATGTTATGTAACTCTTTAGACTATGACAAACGACAAAAGAATATTCATATATACATTACAGATATGTTTCACTAGGTGGCAAATACACTTTTTAGATAACCTGAGTGTTTGTTAGTAGCAGTACTATTTCACCTAATTTGCATACTCTTCACTTCTCCAAAGCAGAATTACTATGCCAGTATTTACAATGTATGGGGACAAATGCCTCAGAACAAAGTACAGTTGCCATATGCCATCAATTAAGCATTAGTTATCCAAGATTGTAGACACAATAGCATACCTCCCAACTTTCTGAGATGGGAACGAGGGACGCCTATTAGCAAAAGTATGTAGGCATAGGATACACCCTGCCACGCCCTCTTAAAGGAGAATTATAAAAAAGAAAAAATTGTTGGTTAAACCCTCAAGTAGTTTTTTGACTACTACTATATTGGCTTTGGAAATTTACAAATGCAGCAATTTAGAAATTGGATGAAAGGTTTAGCACGGTTTGAAAGATAAAAGTGCATTTTCTATACAACTTGTATAGATCAGACCAAAATGAGGGACAAATGAT